ACCCCCCGATCCCAGCCTGCTCAGCTCAGCCCCACTGTGGGGCAGAAGAAGGGGGGAAATTACCCTTTCTGGAAGCTTTCCATCCCCCTGCCTCTGAAGAGCACAACGCCGCTGCCCAGCAGGATGCCGGAGAGCGCCAGCACGGCCAGCACGGCCGCCAAGACCACACTGCTGCTCCCTGCGGAGCGCCGTCAGGGTCAGGACATCCCCCATGCTGGGGACACCCCGTGGGGACTGTGGCAGGGGGCCAGCCCCCTCCCCAGGCACATGGGGCTGAGGGAGCCAGTGCCAGCCGCACGCAGGGGATGCAATACCTGCTGCCATCTCTGAAATCTGCTGGCAGTAGGGCTCTGCCCAGCCCGGCTCACAGTGACATTCCCGCTTGTGGTTGCACACCTGAGATGACGGAGGGAAGTGTCAGGGTGGCGGACATGCCACAGGGGCCATGGCTGCTGTCCAGGCCCTGCGGCTGCTCTGGGAGAGGACGATCCCACAGCATACCCCGTGGTTGTTGCATTTGGCTGAGCAGTTCTTGTTGCCATAGACCAGGAGGTTCTGGCAGTGCCCGGCGTAGCAGACCTGGGGGCAGGCAGGGAGGACTCTGAGGATGCCCCAGGTCCCCACAGCTGGGGGTCAATCCCCTCTGCCACCCGAGCATGGCAGACAGCGTGCTTACCATCTCCTCTCCGCACTTGGTGCCGGTGGGCACCAGCCTGAGGTTGGCCACCACCTCGTTGGCGTCATTGCTGGCGATGACTGCCTTGCACTTGAAACGGCCGAAGAAGAGGGAGTAGGAGCCACCGCCGAGGACGGGGCTGGCATTGTCGCTCAGGCACAGCAGTGTGCCGCACTTCACGTCCCTGCAGGAGAAGTAGCCGTGAGCGGCGGGGGTTGCACAGGGCTGGGGAGCTTTGCTTGGCCCCGCGGTGCTGCCATCGGAGGTGGACACCACTCCCCCTCCCCAGCTCCTCACTTGGGGCTGCAGGGCTGCTTCCCGTACTCGGTGAGGCAGTGGAGGTGAAGGTGCTGCTCACTGTTGTGCTTAAAGCAGACATCGGGAGCCACCTGGGCTTCTGCAGGACACACAGAAAGGGTGACAGGCAGCCAGAGCCCACAGCAATCCGGTGGCCACGCTGCAGGGTCAGCAGCCACAGTGCTGCGATGAGGGACGCAGGAGGGGACCCCAGCCACACCCAAAGCCCTGGGCTCCAGGCACATCACCCAGCACATGGGGCAGGGAGATTGGGCAGGGTGGGGGAGCAGTTACCTGCTCCCCAGAGCGCACGGCACTGCTCACTGTGCGAGGGGCATGCCCCGTTGTAGCAGTAGCCATTGCCATTCTGGCAGGAAATGCCGTTCTCCTGGAAGACGTCCTCCGGGCACTCGGCACTCAGGCCAGTGCAGTGCTCGGGCAGGTCGCAGTCGTTCTTGCTGGCTCGGCAGAGCACACCCACAGCCTTCACCTGCATGGAAAAGGGGATGTCGGCACTGACTCCAGGCTCTTGCTTCCCCAGATCCCTGCAGGCACCACAGGTGTGGTCTTCAAAACACCTCCTGGCACTGCACAGATCCTGACACGGCACCTTGTGCAGCTCCAGCACAAAGACATTTGCTATCGACTGAGCTCCCACACAGAACGGAGATGCTGTCGGGCCTTCAACTGAGCCTTCCCATAGTTCAGTCTCTCCCTGTGGGCAACACTTTGTGCTTTGCTTTTAGTCTAGGCTTGTCTCGGGTCCTCTTCCAGCCTTGTCTCTTCACACCAAGGCATTTCTTATGCCTGTGTGCAGGAACCAATGCATGTAACATCACTTTCTCTTGGATGAATGGAGCAGAAGAGGGACATTGGTTTCTTGGACCAGGAATGGGCCACACTAATCTCTTCCGAACATTGCCCAACACCTTTCATCCCACACCTAACCTAACAGAGCCAGGGAACCTGGGCTCCAGGATGCTGGAAACAGAGGCTGCTTCAACTTTGCAACTGCTTCCAGCCCAAGATGCCAACTGTCCATGTATGAAAAGCATCAAATCAAAAGCGTGATTCCCCCTCAAACTATTGGGTGCATTTGGCTCTGGGCTGGCTGCTACAGAGGTCCTTCAGTGGGCTATGGCCACACTTTACCTTTACCGGGAAGCTCCAGAGCAGCCTGGGGCAGGAGGCAGGATTATGTGCCCACCAGTGCCCCTCCCTGCCAAGCTGGTCCCCCAGCAGCGGCAGTACCTTGCAGTCCTGACAGCAGTCCCCCCGAGCGCACTCAGCTCCTTCTCTCAGCTGACAAGTGGTGGCATTGCAGCAGTGGTCGGAGCACTCCTGCAAGACAGAAGAGGGACCTAAATCTTCCAGAAAGCCCCCTGAAAGACCCTTTCCTAAACCACAGGGCAAAACCACAGCATCAACCCAGGTGTGAACCGTTCCTGCTGCCTCCTTACTCCCATTACCAATGCCAAACCAAAGGACCAGAAGAGGCTTTTCAGAAGATGGGACCTGACCTGGGCCCCTGCTCTCTGGTAGACCCCTTTGCACATCTCCAAGAAGGAGAAAACAGGAGGATCTCTGTGCTTTCTGCATCAGGGGCGACCATCCCTTCAGATCACAGAGCAGGGCTGTGACTCAGGGATTTATCCCAGAGATGTTGTCTGGCAATTTGTCTCAAATCTTGCTCCCGCTGCGATGCAGTCATGAGGAAAAGCTGAGCACGGCTCTTGAAAGGGCAACATGCCAGGATGTTCCCCTCCTTGGATCACCTCTTTGGAGGATATGCTGGGTGGATGTCCATCTTTCCTAGGCACACTCCTGCTAAAATCTCCACCAGCTACGTCAAGTGGAAGGCACTTTTCCAAGTTAACAAATATCCACCTCAAGTTATTTTTCTGCAGAAGCATCAGGAACATTGGGAAGATGAGTCATGCAAAGCACAATGTCCAGGGAAGAGGCTTGCACAACTTCTGAGTCCGAATGACAGGTCTCAGGTCCCTGCTGCCCACTTTCCTTCCCAGGCTCTTAGAGCCTGTCCCTACCTCTGGCGTGCCACAGTCACACTGCTCTCCCCGCTCCACAAACT